GCTGCCAGGAGAGACCAGTTTGAGGAGGACTCCATTTGGGCCGTACAGGAGGATGTGCTGCTTGGTCTGGAGTAAATGACACCTTCAACAAACCCTGTCATTACCTAAGGGTGATTGTTTTGTCTGCAACCTCCAATTCACTGTCATCTTAAAATGGTGCGTGGTGAGAGCCCATGGACTGCCACTGGGAATATTACAGACCGCAGTGCAGACGTGATAATGGAGCCAAAGTGGAGGGGCCGCAGGACTGAGTCAGAGGCCCCCACTGTGAGGAAGATTATTTTATTTTGCCGCCACTATCCAATACGTTGCCTCATTGGTGTTGATTACTGATAGCTCCTGGTTTCTGGGCTTTGTCATTCCCCACTGTGCCAAAGAAACCTCCTGTCAGTGTGATTTCCTTTATAGCACCGGACTATTTTGTTATTTTAACAAACAACCAATAACAAAAATAACCCATCTCAATTTATCTATTCCCATGTACGAAAATAAATTGCATTTTTCAGAACTCAAAATTCAGAAATTGACTATGGTGAAGCCTTAACCCAAATACTTTTTCCTTGAGAATAGACATACTGTGTTTAAAAGCTAGGGCACATCTAGGACTAAGAGTTTTTCCTGACTACGTAACCTCAGGCCTGGAGAATTTACTGATGAGGAAAAACTCCTGGCCCCAAATCCTATAGTAATGTCTGTGCCCTGTGTAAATTATGTTACAGACTGTGCACAAGGTTTTCCTCTAGCTCTGGGACTTCTCAGCCTGTCCAGTATGTTGATCATTATTATATGAGCAGAGTGGTGTGGAATTCAATCCATTCATACAGTCCACTGGGGAGTCGGTGACCTGTCTCCAGGGTATCTACTCTCCTGAGACGAGACCATACTACCTCAGGTCACTATGTCATCTGACAATTCAGAGAGGTGCATTCTATTACAGGTGAGAATAAAATAGATTACTTTGAGAACGGACTGAGTCAGAGTGGGGATATTTATGGTTGGGTTCAGGGCATTAGCTATGCATTCTCAGGAGGGGGAGGACTTCATAAATACTATTTGAATGTAATATTTTATTATCCATATCCAAGTTTTTAATTGAAAGTCAGCTAAATGCAGCAGAAGCCTCCCCTACAGTAGCTGTGCTCCCCGGCTCTGCTTCAATATGTCTGTCTCCTCCCACAGCCCCTGCGTCATTCACAAAAATCATTCAAATGGCTTTGACCTCAAAGCCTTTTTCATTGAGAAATCTTTTTATAGCAGGAGCAAGAGAGACGGGCGGGGAGTGAGTGAGTGAGAGCAGAAGGGTGGGAGTTGTTGGGGGGAGGGGGTTCGGAGACTGTGCTGTCCCTACCTGACTAGCAATGTACTCTGAGCCACTGCTTCTCTCTATCGCTCAGAGGGGGAGCCATTGGCCGGCACGTGTGTCTGTTTCATCACGTGTGACGAGCTATTGGCCAAGATACATATCTCTTCTGCCTCTGATAGTGAAAAATTGTCTGGAGCAAGCAACAGTCAGACTGTTCAACTATTGAACAGTAAGCCATTGGCTGGAATAGCCCTCTGTTTACGGATTGGCTAGAGAAGGCTTTTTGGCTCAAGTTACAGCAGTGCAGACAGGTTGAGTGAAACAGTGAGCTAGTCTCGGAAACAGGCTAAAATACTTCAGCTCCTTTGTTCATCTCCCAAGCATGCACAGCACACACAGCCTACACACGTATGTACTGTAGAGCTCAGATTCCATTGGTGGGCCCCGTGTAGCTCAGTTGGTAGAGCATGGCGCTTGCAACGCCAGGGTTGTGGGTTCGATTCCCACGGGGGGCCAGTATGAAAAAAATGTAAGTCGCTCTGGATAAGAGCGTCTGCTAAATGCCTAAAATGTTGGGTCATGGGCATGTCTTCAATCATTGACGTTTTCCCAATTTCAAGAGGATGTCATTTTTTCAGCCATACGCATTGAATCTTAACAGGATTCTACATGCTTGTGAATGCAATTTTTTCATTAAATGCATATTTCATATATTTTATTTTCTTCATTCTATACTCCCTTTCTCAAAGCTATGGCTAGTGTTCCAAGACTTGTTATTATAAATATAATTTCCCTTTTCCAAGGTGACTCGACAGCAGGGATCCAGCGTGCACACCCCACCTCCACAAATAGCCTACCCCCCACCACCATACCATCTCCACTCAGCCCACTCAGGATTTCACATAATGGACAAAAGGTGTCTAATTATGGCTAATTAGAATAAATTCAAGCATGATTCTCATTACTAGCCCATTTATTCTGTTGACTCACATTTTTAATTGGTACATTAAAAGAAACACCGCACGCAAAGTCAGGGTGGAGTTAGGCGATGAATGTATTTATTTTGGTCTAGAATGAGCAGCCCAAAGCGAATGCACAGAGCAGGAAACAGGAAGTGCTACTAGGCTCACGTGTTACTAGGCTCACGTGACAAAACTTTCTTTCATTGCCCCTCCCATTGTAAATGTAGCCAAATTTGTGGAAACATCTGGAAAAGTGTCAAATCATTGTTAATGTAGAAAGCATCCAGATCCATTCATATCCTTATCCTTTGGCTCCGGACAGACAGACTTCATCCAATATTGTCAAGGCTCTCTAATCTATTCCTTATTTTTTTAGACGTATACCAAACAACCAAAGCATTCACAGAGAAAAGGACTGGATTTCATTTTTTATTTGCATTCAGTTACAATTTCCCTCTGTAATACCTTTCTCAGAAAACTGAGGTGAGTTAAGAAATCGGTTTTGTGAGTTTGTTCCTATGGCAACTTACCCAATACACACCTTTTGTTAGTACATGGGGACGGACGTGTGTAACTCTGAGAGACTTAGCCAGAAACGGGCTCTGAGAATTGATGAACATCTTCCTGGTAGGTATTACTTATTACTTGGTAGTAATTCAATCCATGGATTGATACATGGCTGTTAATAATAGAGCAATTTATCCCAACGACTGTTTACTTAAGCCACTGTTTCCATGGTAATTGAGAACATACAGGCACAGGTTAGTCTCATTTACAACCACTGACATATCTCCTTTATGCTCATCTCCCTCCACACAAGATTAACTCAATTGATGTTCACAATGTAGTTTACAAGTCTTAATGTTACCAAATCAGGATCCATGACCAAGAGCATGTAGTGTAAAACAGAACACTGACAACAATTGTTGACAGCTATATGTAATACAAGAGACTTGTTGATAGATTTGAGTGTAAAGAAGAATGTGGAATTTGCAATATGTTTCAGAGGGGTCATTCCTCACTAGTAAAATACAAAAGGTGACACAGGTTACGAGACGTGGGGAGAAACAAAGAAAATATTGTTAAATTGGTTGGACAAACTTGGAGTACTGAAGAAAGATTTAATTTGGTCAGGTGGCAGAGAGGGTGTACAGGAAGGAGGCAGATGATGGCGTGATGATGTGTACAGGTGCTGGCGGGTGGATATCTATAGAATAATTTATGGTTGGAATTGTATCCAGTTGCACGATTATGAGCCAGTTATATTGTGGTCATCAAAGGGAAAGAGTCACATTTTGAGTTTTGTTTTTTGAATTCAGATTACACACACCAGGTGTTCCATGTCTGAATAATTCCTGATTAGAGGGGAGGAATGAAAATCAGCAGAACCTCTGACCTCAAGTTCCAGATTGTAGAGTAGGGGGTCTTCAGAGTAAGAGGCTTAGAACCCTTGGACCATCCATTAAAGAACAGATCAAACCATTCTTATTTCAAATTGAATTCAAATAACCCTGACGACTGTGTGACGTCGACCGACCTCAAAGGGAGGGGCGTCCAAATTCTACATACGCCATCGTTTCGCAGAAGATTAAAACAGCAAACACATTTAGACACAGTTAAATGTTACTTCTGCTGTTTAGTTTCCAAGGTAACAAGAAGTGTATATTTAGAGTGTACAGAACGAGGCAGAGGGGAAGAAAAGTGTTGATCCTCTTGATGGAACAATTACAAATAGACAAAGTCCAATAGTACAGATCAAAACACCTTATCTGTTAACAGTTGGAGAAGGCTCATGAACGAAACAGTCATCCGCTCATTCACCGCCACTTGTGACAGTTGAGTCACTTGGTATTTAAAGACATTACTGATTCATGCAGTGCAGTACAGTACAGTACACATTCGTCCAAAACTACCTAGGAAGTTGTCATCTCATTGCTGGGGAATACAGACATCAGTGAGGGAGGTTAGTGCCTACATCCGTTGATCTGGCTACTCATCATTCGGTTGGAGGCAACATCGTTCTGATTAATTCATTAGTCAAAAGAGCAAAGACATTATGGGTTCAGCCAACGGGGAGAACTGAGGAAACTCAGAATACAAGACAGAACTGTTACTGTATGCAACTGTGTCAGCTCATCCATAAAGTAATGTGTGAGTGAGAGAGTGAGTGAGAGATTGAGAGTGAGAGTGAGAGACTTTTGTCTTTTGTGTCTCTGGCTTCAGCCAGGTTGAAGATACCCAGATTAGAATCTTTCAAAAAATAAAACAGACTCATGGAACCAGTGCCGTTGCTAACTAGCATAGCTGGCCCCTTTGTTTTTGAATTATTTCTCATTTATGCAAAGAGTTATGGGATACTAGAATCCTCGTCTTAACCTTTATCTTCTTCAACTTGGGCTTTAGCACAATTGTGTTTCCTATATTTCAAGTAGTGTACACAAGTCACTTAAACTAAATTAAATACTCAGTACCAACACACAGTATACGATGAACTAAGGAGCACATGCCTAGATGGATTGTTGACTGTTAGTGCATGGCAGTTGAATTCCAGTCAGCCTCAGTGTTCCACCATTAACAAGGCACTTGTTCTGTATGTCACCCGACCGACACCAGTGAGACCGTGCCTGGATATGATCAGTATGGTGGTGTCTGACAAAGACCAGCCTGGTGGTTCTGTGGTTCAGTCAAAACAAGGAGGATTTAATTGGTGCAGGTTGAGGCCAAGTTCCAGAGGGTTATTGTTTGAATGCTGCCCTGAGTTTGGCTGAGCGTCCTCGTGGGTTCTCCAGTACATCTTCTGCCTGTGGCGTCAGCACCCCTCTCTGCAGGTCAACCCAGTGACCACTGTCCCTTTCCCCATCTTTCTCTTCTCCTCTTCCTCCCATCGCTTGACTCTCTGACGGAGATTCCGACGGGGTGGGGCACCTAAATCCTCTCCATGGAGAAATCGCTTTACCAAGCGGTCCTCTAGTGAATGGAAGGTCAGCACACAGAGCCGGCCGCCAGGTTTAAGCATAGTCTGAGCAGTGCAGAGTCCAGCATGCAGTTCATTCAGCTCATCGTTGACAAACATACGCAGCGCCTGAAATGTCTTGGTGGCAATGTGCGAGGGCCGCTGAAGCCGATCTTTGCGGGCATAGAGAGCGCCGGCTGCAAAAGATCCTAGAGACAAAGAAATGCTTTTATTTTAAATAAATCAAACAAATTACATGACATCAATCAAGCATGTTATTCATCTGGAGAGCAGCATACCTGAAATGTTTCACATTCTATCCAGGAGACTCATGGTTCTCAGCAACAGACCAGAACAGAAGTCTCACAGCTGTGTAATGACTCTTAGTTTTTAACCACACTTCCAGTCTGAATAAGCCCCACTCACAGCCACATTTTACCATATCCTGTCCAGGCGGCAGCTTTAATATGTGATTGACAATGACAGTAAGTAAAACCTGTAAATAAACAGGTGCTTGTGATAATACTTGAAAATAAAGTTGTGGCTCTCTTTCAGATTACTCTCTCTTCATCCCCCCTATTGCTAGAAATGGCCTATAATGATTGCCTTTGCTTGTACTGTTTGATGACGCGGTGTTCAGACAGACTGTGTTCAAACAAGCTCAGATGGTAATGTTTGCATTTTGTACTGTTTGAAGTGCCACAAAACAATCTGTGCTGGGTTAAGAGCACAACCACTCCTCCCTGCTCCCTGGCACTGATTGACAGGGAAGGGCTCCAGACTGCAGTGCCTTCCAGGCTGCTGAAGCACTGCTCTGTTTCCTATCTGGAGCTTTGGTGTCCCCTGTCCAGAGTAATGCCAGCATTGACGTAGGACCCAGCCCATGTGTGTATGTGAGAGGAGAAGACAGGAAGGGAGAGGAGAGGAGAGGAGAGGAGAGGAGAGGAGAGGAGAGGAGAGGAGAGGAGAGGAGAGGAGAGGAGAGGAGAGGAGAGGAGAGGAGAGGAGAGGAGAGGAGAGGAGAGGAGAGGAGAGGAGAGGAGAGGAGAGGAGAGGAGAGGAGAGGAGAGGAGAGAGGGAGAGAGAGAGAGAGAGCGGGAGAGAGACCGCAAGCAAGAGGGAGAGAGAGAGAAAGAGAGAGGGGGGAGGGGGAGAGGTGGCAAGGGAGAGAGAGCAGTGTGGCATTTCTCTCCTCCTGCGCTCAACAGCACTGAGTGTGAGTCACCCAGCAATCAATAGAAAACCTGCTCCCCGGCCGTGGCCCAGCCTCACCAAGTTGTGCTCTCTCTCTCTAATTCATCTTTCAAGGGTCCCACAGCTAGAGCGCATGAGAAAGAAATAAGCAAAGATGCCACAAAGCAGCAGACTGGGAAAAGGAAACACAAATCTAGCTATATCCAAACAATCTCATTGATCAACTGAACAGGCTGAACAAATAGCATTGCCAAACAGACACCAAATCCTCCAGACCTGTTGGAGGCAGCGGAGCTCTAAAACCCCTCTGGGATGTAGTGGTTATTCCTTTTTTATAAGACTGATCACTTTGTCTTCATCGCTAATGGATAAATAATAGTCGAAAAAATACCTTTGTCTAATGTTATTCGATACAACCATGACATAAAATCTGGAAGAATGCCAAAAAATAAGGGAACTTGGCAAAATCGAGCAGAATTGGTTTAAAATAGATACCAAGACGAGTTTTCACTTGCTGAGTTGCAAGATTATATAGAGTGCGAGGAAACAAGTTAAAAGGATGCTGGGTGGAGCGAGTGGCACCCAACCACTGGTGGTCTTGGTGACTCAGCTCTCCAAGGAAAACCATCGCCATAGTCAGTGCCATCACCTAATCTATCATTCCACTGACTCTTAGCTAAGGACTGAGAAAGGATGGCAACACACTAAGTAGCAGTTAGAATAGCCAGGTAAATGGATGCACACCGGGATATACTGCTCCAATAACTGTAGCACAGCTCATTATTAATGAAGAATTTAGTCTAAGAAACAGAAGAATGCCCTTGTTTAAATAAAATTTTTCTCCAGGTGATGTTACCCCTGGTGATTGTCTGGTCTGAAGGCTGACATGATGGAGTCTATGTCTTGCTATAAAATGAAAGGGTATCGCTGCTGGTTCACTACTGTTGAGCTGTTTAGACTCAAGGTAGATGTTTTTTCCATATTATTTGTGTTTCTATAAAGGGGGTCAGGGAAAGGCATTTACGTCACAATCATATTACAGCAATTACTTCTCAATAAGGACAGTATTGCACTGTGGAACAATACACCACTAAATATAAGATGGATCCAAATTACATGGCTTCATTTGGAGTCCTGGAAGAACCATTCCTAGGCAGCCATTCGCTGCATGTTTATGCACAAGAGTATTTCAGAGTGATGCTTCATTATTAGTTCATAAATCCTGTGTTCTATAAAGCAGTGAGGCACTTGAGGATGTATTACATCATGAATATTGTCAGGGCTTGAGGCATGAGTGCAATTGACTGCACGTGAACTTTCCATGGAGCTTGGGCTTGTGCCGTGGTGATTATTAGTTTTTGTGAGCTGAAACCACCACCTCATTCACGGTCTGTGGTTAGTGAAACACCAATGCCAAATGTCACCAAGTTGCAGACACCAACATCGCTAGGAATGATGGCTCAATCATCACATGCAGATGACGATTATTTTGAGGTTGTTTTACATTGGAAAGTGTGATTTAGAAATCAACACAGTGTTGCAATGCTAAGGGATATTAATTTGTAATTGAAGAAAACAAGGGTGTCCAATTAGCTGGGCAAACTTCACACTGACACACTGCATTTATTGCCAGGCTAACAGCCATTACTAACTGCATCCATCACGAGTGAATGTTGGGTTGGGGGGTGAAAGGCCGCACACTCCTACAACAGTCAATCATGTTATCCTCACTAGCTGCGTCCATCACCATATCAAGCATGTGCCTGTTCACTCTGCTGCATTAACTCTCAACAACTTGAGTCCATTTGAGATGCATTTCCCAAGAGGCAGCCAGTGAGCCCCATGCACTCTCAATGTTTAGTGGTTAGATACACCACTCTGACCCACTGAATAACAGAGCCTATATGGCAGGGGTAGGCAACTAGATTCATCCGCGGGCCTATTTTTGTCGGAGCGGATGGTCAGAGGGCCGGAACATTATTATTATATTTTTTACACTGCAGATTGACCACATCTAAGACTAAAAAGAGATTGTATTTTAAAATAACAATAATGTCATACCTTGATTACATTGAGACATGATCACATAACTTGTTCTATTTTCGTGGGAATTAAACTAATTTTCAGCTGAATTCCTGGTGATTTTACAGTGTTATTTGACAAAGAAAGATTTTTTTTACTAAAAACTTGTTGCTGACCAATGCTATATGGGCTAAATGGCTTGCTCTCCATAATAATATGTTAGGAGGTCTTTCTATATATATATATTTAAATGAGGGAAAATTTGCAATTCCATGGTAGGGCTGATGTGACAGTCAACCCCCCAATGATTATTTTTGGGGGACCTCAGTCAGCCACAGCTGTGTGGGTTTACACAAAGGAAGGAAGAGAGAGACAGGGGGATGGATGGATGGAGGGAGGGAGTGAGTGAGTGGGGGGAGCGAAAGGCTCCCAAGGCACCTGTCATTATGGTGTCTCAACACCTTCAACAACCCAACCACCACTGCTTCATTTGTAACAAAATAGATGCTGGGGTGCAAGCGAGAGGGGGTAGGGAGGGCTCATTAGGCATTACTGTTGACTCTGGCAGGGAATGGGGTGGGGGACAATCGGCTTAGAATGTATATACAGTGGGGGAAAAAGTATTTAGTCAGCCACCAATTGTGCAAGTTCTACCACTTAAAAAGATGAGAGAGGCCTGTACTTTTCATCATAGGTACACGTCAACTATGACAGACAAAATGAGGAAAAAAAATCCAGAAAATCACATTGTAGGATTTTTAATGAATTTATTTGCAAATTATGGTGGAAAATAAATATTTGGTCAATAACAAAAGTTTCTCAATACTTTGTTATATACCCTTTGTTGGCAATGACACAGGTCAAATGTTTTATGTAAGTGTTCACAAGGTTTTCACACACTGTTGCTGGTATTTTGGCCCATTCCTCCATGCAGATCTCCTCTAGAGCAGTGATGTTTTGGGGCTGTCGCTGGGCAACACGGACTTTCATCTCCCTCCAAAGATTTTCTATGGGGTTGAGATGTGGAGACTGGCTAGGCCACTCCAGGACCTTGAAATGCTTATTACGAAGCCACTCCTTCGTTGCCCGGGCGGTGTGTTGGGGATCATTGTCATGCTGAAAGACCCAGCCACGTTTCATCTTCAATGCCCTTGTTGATGGAAGGAGGTTTTCACTCAAAATCTCATGATACATGGCCCCATTCATTCTTTCCTTTACACGGATCAGTCGTCCTGGTCCCTTTGCAGAAAAACAGCCCCAAAGCATGATGTTTCCACCCCCATGCTTCACAGTAGGTATGGTGTTCTTTGGATGCAACTCAGCATTCTTTGTCCTCCAAACACGACGAGTTGAGTTTTTACCAAAAAGTTATATTTTGGTTTCATCTGACCATATGACATTCTCCCAATCCTCTTCTGGATCATCCAAATGCACTCTAGCAAACTTCAGACGGGCCTGGACATGTACTGGCTTAAGCAGGGGGACACATCTTGCACTGCATGATTTGAGTCCCTGGCGGCGTAGTGTGTTACTGATGGTAGGCTTTGTTACTTTGGTCCCAGCTCTCTGCAGGTCATTCACTAGGTCCCCCCGTGTGGATCTGGGATTTTTGCTCACCGTTCTTGTGATCATTTTGACCCCACGGGGTGAGATCTTGCGTGGAGCCCCAGATCGAGGGAGATTATCAGTGGTCTTGTATGTCTTCCATTTCCTAATAATTGCTCCCACAGTTGATTTATTCAAACCAAGCTGCTTACCTATTGCAGATTCAGTCTTCCCAGCCTGGTGCAGGTCTACAATTTAATTTTGTTTCTGGTGTCCTTTGACAGCTCTTTGGTCTTGGCCATAGTGGAGTTTGGAGTGTGACTGTTTGAGGTTGTGGACAGGTGTCTTTTATACTGATAACAAGTTCAAACAGGTGCCATTAATACAGGTAACGAGTGGAGGACAGAGGAGCCTCTTAAAGAAGAAGTTACAGGTCTGTGAGAGCCAGAAATCTTGCTTGTTTGTAGGTGACCAAATACTTATTTTCCACCATCATTTGCAAATAAATTCATTAAAAATCCTACAATGTGATTTTTCTGGATGTTTTTTCCTCAATTTGTCTGTCATAGTTGACGTGTACCTATGATGAAAATTACAGGCCTCTCTCATCTTTTTAAGTGGGAGAACTTGCACAATTGGTGGCTGACTAAATACTTTTTTTCCCCACTGTATTGGAGCCATAACTGAAGCAAAACTGCATGATTGTGTTATGCAAATGTAGGTAAGCAAAACACACAATTATTTCAAATAGTCTAATATTTCATCTGTTAGTGGATTGTTGCCATTGTTTATCACACCCCAAACATTTATTGTTGTATTCATATCAATTTATATAAACTATGGGTCGGTTAAGTCATATTTATTTGACTGCTTTGTCTATTTCTGTATTGTTTTTCTCCTCATGACATCAGACCCATGTCCTTTAGCTAGCTTTGCTAAACAGGAATACAAACAGATTCATCAAATTCAAAAACATTTAGGAATTACGTTCAGTACACTCTGAATGGCTCTATTGAGGCAGGAACAACTTGATTTAGTACGTCTCTACATTTTCATAATACAGGCCAATGGAAAGGAGATGGAGGAGGCGGGGCTACTACTCCTTATAGAAGAGCTGCAGAGCTATTGGTAGCAAACACAGACAGTGGCAGTGTTGAGCCCTGGCTCAAAATAAGCCCTGCACCCCAACATGGCCAAACAGTCTGGAAGTCTTCCTGCCACTGTAGTCTATGGGGCTTAAGAGATCTGCACCCAGATCTAAGTGTGCCTGCAAAAAGGTTGACAGAGATGGAGAGAGAAAAAGAAAGAGAGACCCGTCCAATAACCCTATAGCACACTGTCATTATGGTCCTGAACACCCCCAACCGTCATGCTACAAAGTGTGCCCCCTTCCACAAATACAACCTCCCCTCCCCTCCGCCCACATAGCATTCTTCCCTAGGCAACGGTGTCACCAGCAGCCTAGCTGACCCGCTGGGACCCACACGAGTCAGGACCTCTTGGATTGATTGGAATAAAGATTGCTGGTGACTCGCTCTGCTCTTCAAAAGAGATCAAACAACTGTCCTTCCTCACACCTGTTCTCCCTGTGTGACGCACGTAGCGGCGTAACAGCCATTGAGAAGACCTCTCTTTCGAGCTCTCAGAGGGAGGCAAAAAAAAACATTTACAAAATGCATTAAAAAATGATGATCCATCCTCAATCTGTGCATGAGTGTGTGTGCATGAGTGTGTGTGCATGTGTGTGTGTGCATGTGTGAACGAGAAGGGGTGCGGGGATGGGTATAAAATGAGGTAGGGTGGGAAACGAAATCAAAAGCAACAAAGGGGAGGAGGAAGACAGGAGGGAGGGAGGGGATGGGAGAACGGGGGGGCTCGTGTGAAAAAGAGAAGTAGTCACTCTCTCTTGTCAGAGAGGCAGCCGCACCCTACGCACCTCTCTCCTCCTTTTTAATAGTAATCTCATCAGGAAAGGGGTGTGAGAGGCGTCCAAAACCCAGACGGGAGAGGATGATGCTTGAGATTAGAGCCATCGTGATTTTTGCCCAGACAAATAGGTCCCACAGGGAGACGGGGGCTTAATATTTCCCTACCTTTTCTGCCCTGAGCCTCTAAGACGATGTAGGGAATTAATGAGGGTACCTGCCACCACCCTGGCCAGCTGCTGTGTCCGGGTGATGGGGTAGACACTGCGTGCCTCCATCATGGCCGAGGCTATTTTCCTGGCGTGCCTCTCTTCCCCATAGGCAGTGAGGATGGACGCAAGAGCCTGTTGATCTAAGCCGTTCACAACGTCAGTGGCGCAGGGCATGTCGGGGTACCTACGCACAAAGAAGAGCCCAATTAGGCTGCTTGACGTCACGTCCTTGCTGACAGCGGCGAAGGCTGACAACTCTCAGACACAGCTGAAAACCTCTGTGGCTAACAAGAGAGATGTAGCCAGTGGCAGAGCCATATGTCTATTTGCCAGTTCATTTGTCTCCATTTAGTCATCGACAGATTCTCGGTACATCTCATTAGAGAAACATAATTAGTGTGGATAGAAATACATAAATATAACTACAAAAAACTGTTGGGAGGACAATACATTTAACGCTTTAGATGAATAATGTGCCAATGATCATACATATGATGTGTCGTTTTAGTTGGTGCTGGAAAACAAGTGCAAACGGTTGTCACAGGAAAAATGAATGCTGACCTTCCGCATATTAAAATTCTACATACACCTCAACAGATTTGAATGCAAAGAAAAGGAGCAGGCATACAAACATCACCTGCACAGTAGACCCTGAAATAGACAGTGTAGACTACAATCTCTGAACTTGAGATCTGCCATATGAACAATTATTTAAAGGGGTTCATTGGTCATGTCAACTAGGGTAACAGAACGAGGATAATATAATAGAAATATAAAAAAATTTTTTTAAGGAATATGAATTACAATAAAATGCCTTAATGAGTTTAGTACAACTGTCATACCTTATCATAACCTAAAAACGAAGGATATTGTGCTCCATGTCTCTGTTTTTGTTGTCATAAGATACTTTAAAATATGTAGCTTCAAATAATGTTTAAAATACATTGCCTATGAGGTTCCTCAAATGGGGCAAAAATAAAACACATAATTGACTGAGATGGGTTTTTACAGTGTAAATGGGACGTAAAGGTAAAAAACTGATCTAAGCCCTAATATGTTGTTCATCTACCACAGCAAGAGTGACTCATTCCTTAATCCAACACTAACATGAGATACTAGTTTATGAACCACTCTGCTTTGCCACCGTGAGATGTATCGCTAATTTTCATTTTGCTGCTGCAAGGGTTGGCTGATGCGGCGGAATCCTACTGATTATACAATAACAATTGCCATTCCTTTCCTAAGAAACATAATACCTGTCAATTTGAAAAGCTCACGTCAAATCACTATCAAAGTCCTCGGAGGCATGGATAGATTGCCTACAAATTCCAGGCCTTATGAGTGCTCAATGTGCACATACAGTTGAAGTCAGAAGTTTACATGCACCTTAACCAAATACATTTCAACTCAGTTTTTCACAATTCCTTTATCCTAGTAAAAGTTCCCTGTCTTAGGTCAGTTAGGATCACCACTTTATTTTAAGAATGTGAAATGTCAGAATAATAGTAGAGAGAATGATTTATTTCAGCTTTTATTTATTTCATCACATTCCCAGTGGGTCAGAAGTTTACATACACTCAATTAGTATTTGGTAGCATTGCCTTTACATTGTTTAACTTGGGTCAAACGTTTCGGGTAGCCTTCCACAAGCTTCCCACAATAAGTTTAGTGAATTTTGGCCCATTCCTCCTGACAGAGCTGGTGTAACTGAGTCAGGTTTGTAGGCCTCCTTGCTCGCACACGCTTTTTCAGTTCTGCCCACAAATGTTCTGTAGGATTGAGGTCAGGGCTTTGTGATGGCCACTCCAATACCTTGACTTTGTTGTCCTTAAGCCATTTTGCCACAACTTTGGAAGTATGCTTGGGGTCACTGTCCATTTGGAAGACCCATTTGTGACCAAGCTTTAACTTCCTGAATGATGTCTTGAGATGTTGCTTCAATATATCCACATAATTGTCCTTCCTCATGATGCCATCTATTTTGTGAAGTGCACCAGTCCCTCCTGCAGCAAAGCACCCCCACAGCATGATGCTGCCACCCCCGTGCTTCACGGTTGGGATGGTGTTCTTCGGCTTGCAAGCCATCACCTTTTTCCTCCAAACATAACGATGGTCATTATGGCCAAACAGTTCTATTTTCATCAGACCAGAGGACATTTCTCCAAAAAGTACGATCTTTGTCCCCATGTGCAGTTGCAAACCGTAGTCTGGCTTTTTTATGGCGGTTTTGGAGCAGTGGCTTCTTCCTTGCTGAGTGGCCTTTCAGGTTATGTCGATATAGGACTCGTTTTAATGTGGATATAGATACTTTTGTACCGGTTTCCTCCAGCATCTTCACAAGGTCCTTTGCTGTTGTTCTGGGATTGATTTGCACTTTTCGCACCAAAGTACGTTCATCTCTAGGAGACAGAACGCGTCTCCTTCCTGAGCGGTATGACGGCTGCATGGTCCCATGGTGTTTATACTTGCGTACTATTGTTTGTACAGATGAACGTGGTACCTTCAGGCATTTGGAAATTGCTCCCAAGGATGAACCAGACTTGTGGAGGTCTACACATTTTTTCTGAGGTCTTGGCTGATTTATTTTAGATTTTCCCATGATGTCAAGCAAAGAGGCACTGAGTTTGAAGGTAGGCCTTGAAATACATCCACAGGTACACCTCCAATTGACTCAAATGATGTCAATTGGCCTATCAGAAGCTTCTAAAGCCATGACATCATTTTTTGGAATTTTCCAAGCTGTTTAAAGGCGCCGTCAACTTAGTGTATGTAAACTTCTGACCCACTGGAATTGTGATACAGTGAATTATAAGTGAAATAATATGTCTGTAAATAATTGTTGGAAAAATTACTTGTGTCATGCACAAAGTAGATGTCCTAACCGACTTGCCAAAACTATAGTTTGTTAACAAGACATTTGTGGAGTGGTTGAAAAACAAGTTTTAAATGACTCCAACCTAAGTGTATGTAAACTTCCGACTTCAACTGTACCTATGGGAATAAATTGTTGACCCAAATGACATTCCTCTCATGGCCAGTGACAGAAGAAGGGAAATAAAAGTGCCAATTCAGATTATAACATTTCCCAGCATGCAGTAGGAAGGAGATGCCGTATGTGTGTTGAGGAACACAAATACTATGTTAGAGTAACCTGGGCTGACGGTAGTTCAATGTATCCTCCTGACACATAGGCCTATATCATTACTATTCACTGATGCTACCCTATAATACATAGTGATGGACATAAAATGACAATAATGCTTTGTGCGACTGTGTAGCGGTGATTATGCGTGGTCCCACCTGTCTGCATCCATCCTCATGTCCAGAGGGCCATCTTTACTGAGGGAGAAGCCTCTCTCGGGACAGTCCATCTGCATGGAGGAGCAGCCAGCATCCAGAAGAACAGCATCCACACTACCTGGCTGCAACCTCAGTCTAGACAGCAGGGCTCCCAGCTCACTGAAACGCCCCAGTAACGGGTGCACCTGGCCACTGGGGGGGGGGGGGGGGGGGGGGGGAGGGAGGGATGGAGAAAACCTTTAATCAGATAATTAAATGTCAGGAAAGAGACATGGAGAAATGGGTACAGATTATGTAAACACATTCAACACAGGTCAGAAATACTGTACAATAATTTGTACAAGAACACCGGTTGACATTTCCTGTTTGTTATGAATGCTAATGAGAAGAAAATGCACTATAAAAGTAACCTTTTAAGCTAAAGTGGTTGACAGAAAAAGTCACCCTTTCCTTGCTGTTCAACACCCGTCTCCTCTGAACCCCATGCCCATGCAAATCCTTCCTGTACAAGACACAGCCTCCTGCCTCAACACACAGCCCTGTACAAGACACAGCCTCCTGCCGCGCACACAGGTGGTGGGTTCTTCCCATCACAGTCATGCATTTTTCATGTGACCTTTTCAGACAGTGAGCACAGAGATGATGGCTGGTGTGAGCTAGAGGGGCAGCCATAAATCAGCCTGAGGGGCCAACAGGGCCACCCAACACTGGCAGACAGAAAGGGACAGGCAGAGGAGGGGTCTTAGACACCACACCAACCTGACTTATAACGTCTTCCGCATCTCAGCACCGCAGACAATTGCGATTCCTCCGCATCTAACCTCCTCTAGTCTCCTCTCAATAGAGTCTTATTAAAATGAAATAAAAGACCCCCATTGCTGCAATAAAGCTATAATAGCAGTGGCCATCTCGATAAGGTCTCTCCCACTAACGGCTTAGCAAGGGGCGTTACCAAGCAGGCCTTGGGGTCCTTGTGTTTATACACCCACTGACGCTTGAGAGGCCAAGGGTTGAGGGGAGCATCTCGCCCGCGCTGTCAGGCCAGGGCTTTTCCTTATCATGCTCTAGAAGTTTTTCATTCTTCGCTGCAGTCGTTAATTGCTGTAAAATCTATAGCGAGGCATTCTCCACACCCACGTGCCTCACAGACCCGTCCACCCCCTCCCGGTCCCATCTCAACAGAGCAGTGCCCCCAGACAGAGCAACCATGCCTACTGTGTACCGATGCAGTATACAGTAAGACCTTATGTCAATATGCTGAGAATTTATGGCTTCAGCAGCTCATTGGTTTAAGACTGTTTTCGTCAAATCAGGACTCTTGATGTATTTCACTCCCTTCAGAGACTGAAGACCCCTAAAAAGTTACATTGGGTATAAATTGTAATAAAGTGTAAGGAAAACTGAAGGGATATCATATCCATTGGAGGGATATCATATTATCCATACATTGTTTCATGGCCATAAAAGCAACATTTACAAACCTTTGTTATCCCACTAATTCAATTAAACTTGGTTACCATGGTAAACTATACTGTGTGTGGAGATACATTTAATTTCATCCAGGTAGTTGACTTGTTTAAATGCATCGTAAGGTTTAATCAGAAACTTGGTTTGGTACAGATGGTGTCGTGTCAACTCTTCTAGCCTCCTCCACAAATCTTACATTGTCTTCAGCAATAAGGCAGGCAGGCTAGGAGAAGAGGTGGATTAAGTAATGAAGAGAGAAAGACCCTAACAAACTCTTCTTATAGTAGTTATGGCAAAAATGTGTTGAACTACAAAAGATTATGATGGAGCTTTCTTAGTAAGGGATTTTAATCTATGGACTTCATTAATTGATAATTGCAAGAGATGAGACACTGGCCAAGTTGGCAATTTCCTTATCATTAGTTACCATTTTCAGTTACTATATTTAAGTTCCTGGTACTTTTTTCTACATGGCCATAACACTTGTGGAGCTCAACACCCTCAGCTATGCGGGTTGAACTCACCTTCCCCTACACACTGAGGAGGCTCCGATGCTCGGTTTCTGTCAGCCACAGAAGGATTTAAGAATATGCTAAACAGTTACACAACGTTTTTTAATTATTAACTTCTTTATGTGGCTTAGACACAGGGTTGGATATATACATGCCTTATATAAGGTGTTATATTATTCAAACAGGACCAGTTTCAGTAGTGTGTGTGTGTGTGGTCCAAGTATAAGCTTAGAATTGCTTTAGAAAACGGATCTATATATAAATTAGTTGTGCAACCCACAACATTGACATCATTCTTAACTTATAACTGAATAAAAGGTTGTTGTTGTTTTAAATGCCATCTCCCCTGGCCCACCTACAACATGTTAAATGATTGAAGAGAAGACCACATTGGGGCATATGGTGGATTTAATGACCTTAAGTCATGCTGGAGGATGCCCTGCCCTGCTGAGTGAGGTAAGAGGGCTCCAGGCAGGTCAACCTTGTTTTAAAAAAACAAATATGAACTGGTTATTGTTACAACCACTCTCCTTCACGCGCATGTGTCAAACTAGGGCCAGTAGGGGCACTCTTCCCTCTGGACAAAGTAGACCCCAAATGCCCCAGGGTGGTGACTAGGGATACTGTCCTTGCAAAGACTACCATTCTTCAGATGAGATGTTAGACTGACTGTCTGTAGTCACTGCAACTTCCATGTCACGTATCACATTAAAAGGGGTTTTGGGAACTGCTTCCATTTAAGTTCCATTAGGGTCTTCAGGAAGTGTGAAGATAGGCCATTAAAACTGCGAAACTTCAGTCTTTCAAAATCAACCATGTTCCAATTTCATATTTCTGGCAAGGTTTTCCAGAAGTGCTCAGCCTGCATCTATTTTTGCTACTCAGTTTGCTCCAGCAAATGTCCCCAGTTGTCCACAAATGTTAAAAAGAGAGCCCTTCCCCTGTCTGTGTACTGTAGGCCCATCCTGGAAGTAAGTATTGGTGGTAGTATTGGTGCCCTGGAGCAGGACCTTGATAAAGGAAGGGAGCTTTGAGCTGCTGCAGTCCTCTTCATATGAACGTCTTGTCACTTGTTTTCTGGATTTGAAGTAGAGCAGATAAAGTTTTCCTACAGATATTCCTTCGTTGGTTTGTTTCATCTTTTAAGCGCTTCCTCTGGCGGATGAGACAGATGTAGAGTACGGATGTACTGTGTAAAGATTGTGTCCTCTGTTTTCATGACTGTAACCTGAACTATACACATTCCACAAAAATGCACTATTTTCAGCAGCACTTGAAAACACACATCCTCAGATGCCATTCCCCTCCCAATGCCCCATCTTGAGGTAAAAGTGCCAGGAGTCCTCACCGTTGAGTGCTAAGTGTGTGTGTGTGCGTGCATGCGTGCGTCCAACATGACGCGCTGCCTCTCCACAAATCAAGTCTGAAATATTCCCCAGTGCTGACCTGCTCAGTTCCTCTACCTGCGTCACTAAGGCCTAAGACAAGATGCTGATTGATTGCTTTCAGCAGGGGAGCAGTGATGAAAATATCTACAGGACATGAAAAAAGAACACACACAAAGTACCACCGGCGAAAGATGCTTGTGTTTGGTTTGGAATGTGAACTTAAGCAACCTCAACTCTAAGTTTAAACTAAATTTAAAAAGACAGAAATGTAGCATGATGTGTTTAAGATGTAAGCCTAAGACTAAAGAGAGTAAGAGCTACGTAGATTCTCAGTAGAGTGCCACAACTAATGTCGCTGCCTCTTTCTTCTCCCTGGCAGGCCTGTTCACCAGATTTCTTATGGATTGTCGCCCTAGGAGAGTGGAATGGTGTCTATAGTAAACACGATACATCAGGTTTCTTGCTAAATGCTAATCACCCCCTGCAAATCAATGACATGCAAACACCAATCACTAGTAATTGACTTTCTCTTTTTTTCCCCAGATGTGGCTTTTGTTCATTTTCTACCTAAATGTGGCACACACATAAAGCCCCCTTTATGTAAGTAATAGCAATAAGAAAGATATCTCTGGTAATAGACTAGTGCATAGAATCTCCACAATATTGTCACACTCAGAATAGAGAATTGCGTCTCAACATTAGGGCCAGGACAATACCAGTATCGCGATACTCATTAGTGTAGTGGCAAGGAAACAAAACACAAAGCAGATTTACCTTCTTTAGGAAACACAGCCCTAATGTTGGAAACAAACATCATTATGATGTCCTTCAGAGTTACATTTAGAGATTTTTCAAGCTAAAGCACACAATATTTTACTTACAGCAGGTTTTTAAAGGACCAAAGAGTTTGATCTGCTTCGTGTTTTCATTTTTGGCCTGGAAAAAATATTGCGATACTGGTATCGTCCCGGCCTTCTTTCATTTTGATTTCGGCACAAATGAAAACGTGGCACTGACTCGCCCATGGATTGATGTTTCAGCATTGTCTCAATGAAGAGTTTGGTGTTGGACTAGCCATGTGTGACATGCACACCAGTTACAAGCCTGCTAGAGTTAGCGGCAGGCTTCATACCGTAGTAGTACGGATGAAGCCTGAGCTGAAATCTGAAGCAAATTGAAGCAGGTTAGCTTTAGAAAACCCTGAGTAGAGCTAGTTTCCTTCGTAGGATACCCCTCCGACCACTGCACCCAATGTGAAAGTTGTCCGGGCATCTACTACGCTTGAAAATCCCTTCCTCTGGGCTGTAATCTAAGCAATTACATAAATGCAGATTTACATCGCTCTTCAATAGTTTGCATCAAGGCTGTACTTTCTGCAAGGCAAAAGAGAAGTGAAATCAGTGATGGGAGGATAGAGAGAGAGAGAGAAGAGAATGCTCCCCAGCCCTGTTGTGAGGAGGCATTGCGTGGGCTGCAAGGGTCTTTTATACAGGCTTCCAATAATATTGGCTAATTGCTAGATTTCTCTGGCTTCTCTCAACTCACATCGTGAGTGGGTGTGGAAGGGTTTATAGCCGGGGTATATTGCTGCTGACAGAATGCCGTACTCTGATTTTCTCTCTTCTGTCTCATCCCCCTCTCATAGGCGCATTGCTGTAGCAGACAATCCCCCCGAGAGAGGTTTCCCCAGAATCTACGTAAAAGGATTCCTACCCACGCCATGGTCTTAGGAACATCTAATTTTCATCCTCCCTCATGCGCTCTCGCTCACTCTCGCACACACTCCCTCTCTCCCTCATTATTAAACACAGTGTCCTGGTGTCTCCCTCCTCTCTCTCTTCTAAGTTTGCTGGGCTCTCCTCTCTCTTTACCTCCCACTCACGGAACCTCAGTGGGAGGCAGCATCTCCCTCACACTGGGGCCGTGGGGCCCCTGTTCTGACAAATGAGACGCCAGGCCCACCAGCTAAGCGTGGGGGGACTGGGTTTAAGTCTCCCTGACACAATGGATGTGGATGGATTGTGAAACGAGGGGCTTTAGCAGCAGTTACTCAGTGATGAGTTTCTTTTCAGGGTTTGAGGGTTGGCAGGGAGGTGGAGAGGGTTGGGAGGTGGGATGTATGTGAAAGGCTGTATCGTGATCTAGCTAACCTTCAATCTAAACTATGATCCAGAAATTGTTGACTGTATAACTTTGAGGGAAAATAACCCACATAACAGCATTAACAATGCAAGCACATACCAATCACATTTGGCAGTTGAGCTATTGTGGGTGAGATTTTACTAGAGTGTCTATTCTGTTTTGTAGTCTCACTTCAAATAAGTGTCTCTAAAGCATGTATACATTAATCAATGTAAGCAGGTATAGTGTAATTAATTGCATTGTAGGTAGCCTACACATTTTACAATTACTTTTATGTGATTGCACATTAAGATGTGTTAAAGGGATCCTTTGGGATTTTGGCAATGAGGTCCTTTATCTACTTTCCCAGAGTCAGATGAACTCGTGGATACCATTTTTATGTCTTTGCGTCTAACGTTAGCACAATTTGCGCTAATGTGATTTAGCAACTTCCTTCAAACTGCACGCAGACATAAAAATGGTCTCCATAAGTTCATCTGACTCTGGGGAAAAAAGAAGGGCCTCATTTTAAAAATCCAGAAGAAATGTCAATGATGTTCATTGACATTTCTACATGCAGATTACATTTGCAAACAAATGTATTTACATTTGACTTGCAAATCTGTGAAATGTGACTTTTAAGTACAATTTGTATCCATATTATACATACCACTGTAATTATTATAAAAAAGGCAATCACCTGTGTTCCTTGGCCAGCTGTTGAGCTAAGCTGAATGCTGTGGGGTCTCGGTCTAGGGCCAGCACTGTCACCTCAGGAGAGGCCCTCAGGATGGCTTTGGTGTGACCTCCACCTCCAAAGGTCATGTCCAGAAAAACCTATGGACACAGACAATAGGCTATAGGTAGGCTGATGTCAAGGACAGTGCTTTCAGAGGCCTCACAATGACAACCCTCTATCAGTTAGCCTATACATAGTGCTAATCTCTAAGGTGATCGTTCAGAGAATGATTAGTAAGTATACCTCAATTCCTAATGCTCTACTACACTATAACATACAAAATAATCATGAAATGTCCAATGATATAATTGAAATTATATGATATATTATTGCCATTGTATTAATAGCTATCATGCACTTAAACATAGTTGTGAACATTTGATGAACCTTTTAACAGTACTGTTTGTGTCTCTTTTATAAAACACACACGACTAGGGGCTCCCGAGTGGCGCAGCGGTCTAAGCACTGCATCTCAGTGCTAGAGGCGTCACTACAGACCCTGGTTCGATTCCAGGCTGTATCACAATCCGGCCATGATTAGGAGTCCCATAGGGCGGCGCACAATTGGCCCAGCGTCGTCTGCGTTTGGCCGGGGTAGGCTGTCATTGTAAATAAGAATTTGTTCTTAACTGACTTGCCTAGACAAATAAAGGTTAAATTAAAAATATAAAAAATAGACACCCAAAAGTCAATGTGTGAGTCATCCTTGCCCCTCTTGAAAGATCTTTCTCAACTCAGCCTGCAGTCCAAGCTACACCCCAGACCCCAATTCCCTGGACGATCTAAGCTACGCCCACACATCACACAATATGTGTCCTGATAAATACAAATGCCACTGAACAATAAAGACTTATCCCCAATAGTACCTTGTGTAAATATTTACAATTAGTTTTACTTCCAATCTCCTTCTGGAGTTATAAGCTCAGCCCTTGCACATACTTTATCACTCTCTGCATCATCACTGGGGATGGGGGATGGGGGTTGGGGGAAATGGCTGTCTGTGCATGAGCATTTAACTCAACAAATGGTAAAATGGTTCAACAAATCAGAGTTAATAAAAATTATGACATTTGTCAAAAGTATTTGTGCCTGTAGAAATTACCCATTGATTATTGTCTGAGAAAATCACTACCTAGTTTTGTAGAAATTACCCATTGATTATTGTCTGAGAAAATCACTACCTAGTTTTGTAGAAATTACCCAATGATTATTTTCTGAGAAAATCACTACCTAGTTTTGTAGAAATTACCCATTGATTATTTTCTGAGAAAATCACTACCTAGCTGTTTCTCTCTTTTACTTCTCAGTGGTTTGTAAAATAATTGAGTCATCCAGACATCTTTTTAAAATACCTACAGAGTTGTTCTCTTCCAGTGAACAAAACACAATGAGCATGAACCAGTTAAGAGATAACTTGTTTTATCAAGGTAATTCGCTTATAGATCAGTCAGTTTTTTATATATTTGTAATTTATTTATTTATTTATTTCAGCTTAATTTATCCAGGTAAGCCAGTTGAGAACAAGTTCTCATTTACAACTGCGACCTGGCCAAGATAAAGCAAAGCAGTGCGATAAAAACAACAACACAGAGTTACATATGGAATAAACAAAACGTACAGTCAATAACACAATAGAAAATCTATATACAGTGTGTGCAAATGTAGTAAGTTATGGAGGTAAGGCAATACATAGGCCATAGTGCAAAATAATTACAATTTAGTATTAACACTGGAGTGATAGATGTGCAGAAGATGATGTGCAAATAGAGATACTGGGGTGCAAATGAGCAAAATAAATAACAATTTAAATAACAATATGGGGATGAGGTAGTTGGGTAGGCTAATTATAGATGGGCTGTGTACAGGTGCAGTGATCGGTAAGCTGCTCTGACAACTGATGCTTAAAGTTAGTGAGGGAGATAAGTGTCTCCAGCTTCAGAGATTTTTGCAGTTCGTTCCAGTCATTTGCAGCAGAGAACTGGAAGGAATGGCGGCCAAAGGAGGTGTTGGCTTTGGGGATGACCAGTGAGATATACCTGCTGGAACGCATACTATGGGTGGGTGTTGCTATGGTGACAAGTGATCTAAGATAAGGCGGGGATTTGCCTAGAAGTGATTTATAGATGACCTGGAGCCAGTGGGTTTGGCGACGAATATGTAGTGAGGGCCAGCCAACGAGAGCGTACAGGTCACAATGGTGGGTAGTATATGGGGCTTTGGTGACAAAACGGATGGCACTGTGATAGACTACATCCAATTTGCTGAGTAGAGTGCTGGAAGCTATTTTGTAAATGACATCGCCGAAGTCAAGGATCGGTAGGATAGTCAGTTTTACGAGGGCATATTTAGCAGCATGAGTGAAGGAGGCTTTGTTGCGAAATAGGAAGCCGATTCTAGATTTAACTTTGGATTGGAGATGCTTAATATGAGTCTGAAAGGAGAGTTTACGGTCTAACCAGACACCTAGGTATTTGTAGTTGTCCACATATTCTAAGTCAGACCCGCCGAGAGTAGTGATTCTAGTCGGGCGGGCGGGTGCTAGCAGCATTCGATTGAAGAGCATGCATTTAGTTTTACTTGCGTTTAAGAGCAGTTGGAGGCCACGGAAGGAGTGTTGTATGGCATTGAAGCTCGTTTGGAGGTTTGTTAACACAGTGTCCAATGAAGGGCCAGATGTATACAAAATGGTGTCGTCTGTGTAGAGGTGGATCTGAGTCACCAGCAGCAAGAGCGACATCATTGATATACACAGAGAATAGAGTCGGCCTGAGAATTGAACCCTGTGGCACCCCCATAGAGACTGCCAGAGGTCCAGACAACAGGCCCTCCGATTTGACACATTGAACTCTATCTGAAAAGTAGTTGGTGAAACAGGAGAGGCAGTCATTTGAGAAACCAAGGCTATTTAGTCTATTCTATGTAGAGTCTATTCACTTCCCAACTGTTTTGGCTAACAGCTACGGTTCCCAGCTTGAATTGAAGACTCTGGGGTATCGGGTTACATATCCACATCCATTGGAGGCTGGGAAGTCCCGCCTAAACTTTCATTCGCTGGTCAGACTGACCGTACATTTATGGTGGAAGGATACGTCGCACCCTCATATGCAACACAGCGTTGGAAAGCTAAGAACCTTCCACATAGATAGCAACTAGCTGTTCTATGACAAACACAAATGGTTTTATAACAAATTATATTTTAAAAAATGAACAATTTGTAGAGAGCCATAATTCGTAATTCATTACAGCAGGACAAAATGTGGAGAAAATAGGAGACAAAAGCTGAGATCGTAACAAATTCGTAGAGTCACTAACCAACTCTGTGCGGTGTACAGGAGGGGAGGAAAGAATGAATCAAGGCAGTGCTGCAAGAAATAAGGATACTTTTCCCAACCCATTAGTTATATGAATTATTACAGTAATAAGGCAGCTGAAATCTTATAGGATGTCATTTGTAAAGTTGATAGTATATATATTTAGATTGTATTTCTTATTCAGGCCATATTCACCCATTTTTCATGAACAGGTTGTTGAATAGGTTGTTCAAAGCATATGAAATCGTAAAATGTCCTCTTTACTATTTATATAAATAACATTGGTACATTAAATCCTGTAATATTCATCTGTATGCAGATGATACTGTTATGTATGCCATTGCACCAACTGTTGACCAAGCTATGTTAGAGCTGCAATGTGATTTTGTAACATTACAGAAAGCCCTTGTTGATTTAAAACTTGTACTTAATGCGGGCAAAACTAAATATATGTTGTTCTATAATTCAGGCAAGAATGTCACAGATGGACTACATATTTACTCAGTGGATGGTTCTCTCATCGAGTGGGTTCCAGCCTATAAATATCTGGGCGTTTGGATTGATAAAGATTTTACTCTTAAAAAAAACATACGGAAGAGCTAGTTATAAAGCTAAGATTTAAAGTGGGTTTCTTTTTTAGAAATAGATTTTGCCTCGCTCTAAACAGCAGGAAGCTGATTGTACAATCACTTTCCATCCAGTTATGGACTATGGCGACACCATTTATCAAAATGCCCTTTTGCTTTGGGGTCTCAGGCCACCATTGAAAATGAGACCCTGGTCTCAAATTGGGGTCCCCTGATTAAATAAAAGTGAATAAATAAATAAAATACAGCAATCAGTAAACATCAATTGATAATGTATTTTCAGATACAGTGGGGGAAAAAAGTATTTAGTCAGCCACCAATTGTGCAAGTTCTCCCACTTAAAAAGATGAGAGAGGCCTGTAATTTTCATCATAGGTACACGTCAACTATGACAGACAAATTGAGAAAAAAAAATCCAGAAAATCACATTGTAGGATTTTTTATGAATTTATTTGCAAATTATGGTGGAAAATAAGTATTTGGTCACCTACAAACAAGCAAGATTTCTGGCTCTCACAGACCTGTAACTTCTTCTTTAAGAGGCTCCTCTGTCCTCCACTCGTTACCTGTATTAATGGCACCTGTTTGAACTTGTTATCAGTATAAAAGACACCTGTCCACAACCTCAAACAGTCACACTCCAAACTCCACTATGGCCAAGACCAAAGAGCTGTCAAAGGACACCAGAAACAAAATTGTAGACCTGCACCAGGCTGGGAAGACTGAATCTACAATAGGTAAGCAGCTTGGTTTGAAGAAATCAACTGTGGGAGCAATTATTAGGAAATGGAAGACATACAAGACCACTGATAATCTCCCTCGATCTGGGGCTCCACGCAAGATCTCACCCCGTGGGGTCAAAATGATCACAAGAACGGTGAGCAAAAATCCCAAAACCACACGGGGGGACCTAGTGAATGACCTGCAGAGAGCTGGGACCAAAGTAACAAAGCCTACCATCAGTAACACACTACGCCGCCAGGGACTCAAATCCTGCAGTGCCAGACGTGTCCCCCTGCTTAAGCCAGTACATGTCCAGGCCCGTCTGAAGTTTGCTAGAGTGCATTTGGATGATCCAGAAGAGGATTGGGAGAATGTCATATGGTCAGATGAAACCAAAATATAAATTTTTGGTAAAAACTCAACTCGTCGTGTTTGGAGGACAAAGAATGCTGAGTTGCATTCAAAGAACACCATACCTACTGTGAAGCATGGGGGTGGAAACATCATTCTTTGGGGCTGTTTTTCTGCAAAGGGACCAGGACGACTGATCCGTGTAAAGGAAAGAATGAATGGGGCCATGTATCGCCAGATTTTGAGTGAAAGCATTTCAAGGTCCTGGAGTGGCCTAGCCAGTCTCCAGATCTCAACCCCATAGACAATCTTTGGAGGGAGTTGAAAGTCCGTGTTGCCCAGCGACAGCCCCAAAACATCACTGCTCTAGAGGAGATCTGCATGGAGGAATGGGCCAAAATACCAGCAACAGTGTGTGAAAACCTTGTGAAGACTTACAGAAAACGTTTGACCTGTGTCATTGCCAACAAAGGGTATATAACAAAGTATTGAGAAACTTTTGTTATTGACCAAATACTTATTTTCCACCATAATTTGCAAATAAATTCATTAAAAATCCTACAATGTGATTTTCTGGATATTTTTTTCTCATTTTGTCTGTCATAGTTGACGTGTACCTATGATGAAAATTACAGGCCTCTCTCATCTTTTTAAGTGGGAGAACTTGCACAATTGGTGGCTGACTAAATACTTTTTTCCCCCACTGTACGTGAGGGTAGCCAGATCCATTTGTCATGTAGCTAGATAGCTCAAATACTTATTTCCCTCATTAAAATGCAAATCAATTTATAACATTTTTGACATGCGTTTTTCTGGATTTTTGTTTTGTTATTCTGTCTCTCACTGTTCAAATAAAACTAAACATTAAAATTATAGACTGATCATTTCTTTGTCAGGCAAACGTACAAAATCAGCAGGGGATCAAATACGTTTTTTCCCTCACTGTATACTTGTCAGGCATTGTTAACTTTTATATCATTCAAATATCCTATTAATGGTGGCCAATATTGAGAGATATCGTGTGGCTACCCTCACTTATCTGAAATGACCAATTTATGTTTACTGATCATGAAAAGCATTCAGTTACTTGCTGTAGGCCTATAACTTTCATGATAGAGCTAAATGTGTACCAATTATTTTGCATGGAATAATCAGAAATGTGTAGTTCTGACTATGCTCTTCAAGAGGTGATGGATGATATTACAAACAAATAGTTAACATTTATTTAACAAAATAGCACGCAGTTGTCAATTGTTTTAGACGAGCTGCAGGTTTCCTTGCCCCCCAGCAGGAAAGTCGAACGCTCTGCACCTTAATGTGACATTTTATTGATTACGACCTACAGCCACAAAGTTATAATTATTGCTAAACCACACCAATTTCTACAATTTATCCTTTAACCTTATGCCTAACCCTTACCTCTGCCGAGTCCCCAACAACCGGATGTTCCAGTTTTCAGGGGAAATGGAAAGGATAGAGAGAGCCTGTGACAAGACTTCTGCTTTTGGACGTTAACAAGGTGACACTCCATCTTAACTCCTCCTCCACATTTACTGGATTGGTTGAACAGTGTAGAAGAGAACCTCCCCTGACAGTTTTTTTTTCCTTCTCGTCAAAACCAGTATGTAGGGGATCTAGTTTCAGGTGTTTCTTTTACGCTTGCTATGTTGGGTTAGCGTAACCCTAACCTTAAATTAAGACAAAAAAAGCAAAATGTTTTACGATTTAGACAATTTTGACTTTGTGGCTATATAATCTAGTGGAAACCACTATGCCTGCTAACAGTTCGATCTGAAATAACACTGTGCCTCCATAAGAATTTCATCATGTTCACATTGCTGTCCAAATCACCTATTGTATTTATTTTTTCCAATTGCACATTATTTCCCCTTGCTTCCAGCCTAGCATTTAGTTTGGTATAGCAGGGGTTAATATAAGCCTGGCAGTCTGCCTGTCCGGCCTCTGAAGATTTGTTTCACTTTTGAAATGCAAACTCCCCTGGAGCCTACATAAAGTGCGGACTGGTGTCCAGCCAGGCGATATCACGCATCAACGTCATTATTATGGATATATCCAAGTAAATGCCAATAGAAAAGAAGCTAAAACAAATGAAAATGCAGCTAGTGTACTATCATTCCAGGAGCAATGGTTGATGACTGAGTTAGCTGAAGTTGGCTAGCTAGCTAGAAATGGTCAGGAACGTTAGTCAGCCTGCATAGCAACCATTTTTGTTAGAACGGATGACCAGTCCTTTTACATAGTAAATATACAAAAATCATTAACGACTGGAGCGCATCTGTAGCAACAGGACGAAAATAACTAACGACCAGACTTCTGTAAGGACTATTTCCTCTGGTGGAAGAATTTACTTTATTTATATATTTTTTATGAAAATGTGTATTTTATTGTTGTTTTAATATGTTGGTAAATGTTTTATAAAAGGAATAAGGCACGCGAGGCAGTGCTTTATTGCTTTCGTGTAGGGCGAAACAACGCCATTTACCTTTGACCTTATTCATGATACAGCACTGAAGAAAACAAATATTTGGGCATAGCAAAACAGGTACAAGAATTAGTCCTGAACAGGTTTTAAGGCCTAAGCTTGGCATCCTTTTCCATTTTCTAAACGACTGATTTAAAGAATGTGCTACGCAAAAACCTTACGCAAAATGCGCCATAGCATTGGAACGTCGACCGGCAGAAAATGAATGGCGGCGAACCAGTATACACTTACTTCCAGGTTGGAATCAGTCTACCGGTAACCTACATCATCAGCCAAATGCTTATTTGTTTCGTTTTCAAGCTAATTTTAGAACATAGAACAATTGATAAAGCTATCTTGTAAACAACTACCACAAACAGTGCCGTGAAAAAGTATTTGCCCCTTTCTGATTTTCTCTATTTTTGAAACGGAATGTTATCAGATATTCAACCAAAACCTAATATTAGATAAAGGGAACCTGAGTTTACAAATTAAAAAATATATACTTATTTTATTTATTTAATTAGCAAAGTTTTGCAACACCCAATTCCCCTGTGTGAAAAAGTAATTGCCCTCTTACACTCAATAACTTGTTGTGCCACCTTTAGCTGCAATGACTGCAACCAAATTCTTCCTGTAGTTGTTGGTAAGTCTCATATCGCTGTGGAGGAATTTTGGCCCACTCTTGCATGCAGAACTGAGCGACATTTGTGGTTTTCAAGCATGAACTGCTCATTTTCAAGTCCTGCCACAACATCTAAATTGGGATTAGGTCTGGACTTTGACTAGGCCATTCCAAAACTTCAAATGTTTTTATCCAAGCGACTTACATTCTGCCGTGAATACTTTTTGTGTATGGGTGGTCCCGGGGATCGAACCCACTACCCTTGGCGTTACAAGCGCCGTGCTCTACCAGTGAGCTACAGACATTTAGCCATTAGACATTTTCATATAGACTTGATTGTGTGTTTTGGATCATTGTCTTGCTGCATGACCCAGCTGCGCTTCAGCTTACCTACGGATTGCCAGATATTCTCCTGTAGAATTCTCTGATACAGAGCAGAATACATGGTTCCTTCTATTAAGGCAAGTCGTCCAGGTCCTGAGGCAGCAAAGCTTACCCAAACCATCACACTACCACAACCATGCTTGACCATTGGTATGAGGTTCTTACTGTGGAATGCAGTGTTTGGTTTTCGCTAGACATGATGGGACCCAGCTCGTCCAAAAAGTTGACTCAAGTTTGCCAAAAAGCACCTGCAAACACCTGGATGATCATCAAGACTTGGAAGTATGTTCTTTGGACAGATGATTCAAAAGTATTACTTTTTGGACTACATGGGTCCCACGGTGAAAACCAAACACTGCATTCCACAGTAAGAACCTCATACCAACGGTCAAGCATGGTTGTGATAGTGAGATGGTTTGGGGATGCTCGGGTGCCTCAGGACCAGGACGACTTGCCTTAATAGAAGGAACCATGAATTCTGCTCTGTATCAGAGAATTCTACAGTAGAATGTCAGGCTATCCGTCTGTGAGCTGAAGCGCAGCTAAATCATGCAGCAAGACAATGATCCAAAACACAATCAAGTCTACATGAAAATGGCTAAAAAGCAACACATTTGAAGTTTTGGAATGGCCTAGTCAAAGTCCAGACCTAATCCCAATTGAGATGTTGTGGCAGGACTTGATATTAGCAGTTCATGCTTGAAAACCCACGCTGAATAAAAACAGTTCTGCAATAAAGAGTGGGCCAAAATTCCTCCACAGCGACGTGAGAGACTGATCAACAAATACAGGTAGCATTTGGTTGTAGTCATTGCAGCTAAAAGGTGGCACAACCAGTTATTGAGGGTAATGGGGCAATTACTTTTTCACACAGGGGAATTGGGTGTTGCATAACTTTGTTAATTAAATAAATAAAATAAGTATAATTTTTAAAAATATATTTGTAAACTCAGGTTCCCTTTATCTAATATTAGGTTTTGGTTGAAGATCTGATAATTTAGTATAAAAAATATGCAAAAATAGAAAAAATCATTAAGGGGACAAATACTTTTCCACGGCACTGTCATAAAAATACAAATTTGATGTAAGGATTTTAGATGTAGAGGATTTTAACTTGGCTATTTAGCGATGTACCGTAACTGCGCAGTCCGGAGCGATGTTGCTGCAGAGATGGTTGCGTAACTAGTGTAGGTCTAATTGAGTAAGAACACTCCTGGAAATGTTGGCTACCTTTTCTAGTTCTTTGCAGAGACAGTGATTTTGACAGTAACAGCAAAGAGAGTCACCAAATTTGTATTGAAAGCTATGAACTCCAAGTCCAGTTGAGTAGGCTATTGAACGATGTTGCCGATAGCAGCAGTTTTTTTCTACGTAAGGTTTTTGCACATGCACAGAACGTTAGGAGGTTTAGAAAACAGGAAAAGGATAAACAGGACTCCAAGCCACAAATAAAAAAAATATACAGTGGGGAGAACAAGTATTTGATACACTGCCGATTTGGCAGGTTTTCCTACTTACAAAGCATGTAGAGGTCTGTAATTTTTATCATAGGTACACTTCAACTGTGAGAGACGGAATCTAAAACAAAAATCCAGAAAATTACATTGTATGATTTTTAAGTAATTAATTTGCATTTTATTGCATGACATAAGTATTTGATACATCAGAAAAGCAGAACTTAATATTTGGTACAGAAACCTTTGTTTGCAATTACAGAGATCATACGTTTCCTGTAAGTCTTGACCAGGTTTGCACACACTGCAGCAGGGATTTTGGCCCACTCCTCCATACAGACCTTCTCCAGATCCTTCAGGTTTCGGGGCTGTCGCTGGGCAATACGGACTTTCAGCTCCCTCCAAAGATTTTCTATTGGGTTCAGGTCTGAAGACTGGCTAGGCCACTCCAGGACCTTGAGATGCTTCTTACGGAGCCACTCCTTAGTTGCCCTGGCTGTGTGTTTCGGGTCGTTGTCATGCTGGAAGACCCAGCCACGACCCATCTTCAATGCTCTTACTAAGGGAAGGAGGTTGTTGGCCAAGATCTCACGATACATGGCCCCATCCATCCTCCCCTCAATACGGTGCAGTCGTCCTGTCCCCTTTGCAGAAAATCATCCCCAAAGAATGATGTTTCCACCTCCATGCTTCACAGTTGGGATGGTGTTCTTGGGGTTGTACTCATCCTTCTTCTTCCTCCAAACACGGCGAGTGGAGTTTAGACCAAAAAGCTCTATTTTTGTCTCATCAGACCACATGACCTTCTCCCATTCCTCCTCTGGATCATCCAGATGGTCATTGGCAAACTTCAGACGGGCCTGGACATGCGCTGGCTTGAGCAGGGGGACCTTGCGTGCGCTGCAGGATTTTAATCCATGACGGCGTAGTGTGTTACTAATGGTTTTCTTTGAGACTGTAGTCCCAGCTCTCTTCAGGTCATTGACCAGGTCCTGCCGTGTAGTTCTGGGCTGATCCCTCACCTTCCTCATGATCATTGATGCCCCACGAGGTGAGATCTTGCATGGAGCCCCAGACCGAGGGTGATTGACCGTCATCTTGAACTTCTTCCATTTTCTAATAATTGCGCCAACAGTTGTTGTCTTCTCACCAAGCTGCTTGCCTATTGAGTGTGTGGACAGGTGTCTTTTATACAGGTAACGAGTTCAAACAGGTGCAGTTAATACAGGTAATGAGTGGAGAACAGGAGGGCTTCTTAAAGAAAAACTAACAGGTCTGTGAGAGCCGGAATTCTTACTGGTTGGTAGGTGATCAAATACTTATGTCATGCAATAAAATGCAAATTAATTACTTAAAAATCATACAATGTGATTTTCTGGATTTTTGTTTTAGATGCCGACTCTCACGGTTGAAGTGTACCTATGATAAAGATTACAGACCTCTACATGCTTTGTAAGTAGGAAAACCTGCAAAATGTGCAGTGTATCAAATACTTGTTCTCCCCACTGTATATACATGTCAATGTTTTAAACCCTCCAAAAAATACATCTCTACATTTTGGAAAGGAAACAAATTGCCAACTTGTGTGTCTTAAAAGTTGTCGGCAAAGTCTGGGTGAGCGACCATCAAATTCTAGTCTTGTCTCCTCTAACTGTTTCACACATGATCCGCTCTATTGCCCTAAGTATGAAAATGTATACACTCACTAACTGTAAGTCGCTCTGGATAAGAGCATCTGCTAAATGACTAAAATGTCAAATGTATTTAAGGAAGATCAGGGGGGCAGGGGTTGAACAGGGGTTTAAACGTCACTAGGTATGTTTTTTATTTGATCCTGTCACAGAGACAGAGCTTTCCCCTGTCAGGACATGCTTGCCTTTTTTGTGTGACTGTCAAACAGAAGGTGTGGGCCAACCTGTCCACATAAACTGTGACAAAAGGTTATTTTACTGCCTTTCCATTCATTTTCTTTTTCTACTATAAAAAATGCTATGTAAAAATGATTGATGTAGTGCACAAATTCCCAATTACAGAGCAGCCTACAGTACAATTATCTACATTACACTTGCATCCAATTACAGCAGCTGTGGTCATATTGTTATGCTCCCAATGTAATGGGGTATGGCCTTGAAAAACATTATGAAGGTAGAAAGAAAACAGCAAGCATCTAATTTTTTGATTAGACCACAAATCCCTTTGAATAGAATTTGTTTTGATAACAGGAATGTGTAGATCCCTACCAACGTATTCAGTTCATCTGTATGAGCTGGTTCATGATGGTTGTCTGATGAGTAACTTTGCCTGAAGACTTATGTTAGCTCCCAGAGTGAATGCCTAGGCTTTAGCTCAGTGGGCTTACAGTCTTGTGGCATGCAAGACAGCCAGGTTTTAACCTATTCGTTGACATTGGTGCCATGTCTCAGATCGGTCTTTGCAATAAGATCGTCAAAGGGGGTAAAGTTTAATGAAGATGGTTTGGTAAGACATGCTTGTGCATTGCCTGAGAGTTGAAGACTTGGATTCAGCTCAGTGAGCTAACACAGTCTTGTGGTGTGCAGAAAACCGGGTTCGAACTCAGTCGGTCACATGTACATAACCATAAGTGTTCAGTAAACCCAAAGTTTAGCCGTACTATACTTTCAATATATTATTTTATTCCTGTGCCTTTACAACCATATATCTATTTATTTTGGGTTGGAAGGGAAATTGTTCTCAGTGTGTCTCAACTGTCAACAGCGGATGCTCCCTAACCATTGCATTTTTTAAGAAAGGAAAACATTGCAGTCAAGTTGTCTGTGGCTTATGACTTCTGCCTTTTGTCACATTGCAATAACAAAAAGGGCTTTTTGGTGACCAACAGATGGAAAATGACAATGGGAAATGTCTTCCCTTCCCCACAAAAACATTAAACATGCCGATCGATAGTGATGTCGGAGGTGGGGTGTGTGCGTGCATGTGTGAGAGAAGAGGTGATCAATGGCGTTTCCCTCTCCCATCTAAAGCACAGCAACAGATGGGGAGGAGGTGTGGGCTAGTGGGATGAGTCACGCGCATAATGAACTCGCCTGTTGTGCCATTCAATACAAAAAAAGAAAAACAACAAAAACAAACTGCAAAGTCTGCTACCCCTTAACCAACATTCTTTATAAGACAACATCTCATGGCACAATAAGGACTGTGAAATGACACACACAGACACTATCACACACAATCTACACACACATTCTGTAGTTGTATTGTTTGTATATTGTTGTGTTTAACATTTGTGTGACTATTCTTGTCTATCAGTGTATCAGTGTTTTGTTACTTGTCATGTTTTGTTTTTGTGTGGACCCCAGGAAGAATAGTTGCTGATTCGAGCCCTGAATGCTGATTGGCTGACAGCCGTGGTATATCAAACCGTATACCACGGGTATGACAAAACATTTATTTGTACTGCTCTAATTACGTTGGTAACCAGTTTATAATAGCAATTAGGCACCTCGGGGGTTTGTGGTATATGGCCAATATACCACGGCTAAGTGCTGTACCAAGGCACTCCGCGTTGTGTCGTGCATAAGAACAGCCCTTAGCCGTGGTATATTGGCCATATACCACACCCCCTCGGGCCTTGTTGCTTAAATCCAAAAGTTATGGGCGGAGTTAGAAAGTTGGCTGTCAGAAGTATTACAATGTAAATGTACTTTTAATCCGTTTGTCTGCATATTTCAAGACATGGCATATGAGGGTGCAGTAAGATACCTGATGGGTTGGGCGATTCTTTTCTCGTCAATCATCTTGAAAAAACATATACTTAAAAACTGGAAATCAACCAATCTGCCATCGTTAACACAATGGAAAGGTCAAATGCTTTATTATCTAAAAATGTTACGTGTGTGGACGACGGAGAGAAACAAAATGGTGCAGTTTGAGGCCATGTGGCAGAGAGTGATACGGGCGCTGGAGATGGTTGTGTGCGTCTGTATGTTGTCATTTGTAAGTGGATGTTTTGGATTGTTTAAAAATAGAATCTTACAAAAAAAGGCAAACTAGTCTTCTATTGGGGCAAGCAGAGGATCTAATCTTATCAACTCTACCTCAGCTCAGCTAAAGCCTCCTAAATCTTTCGAGCTGTGGCCATAGGAGCAACAATACTGGTCATGCCTAGGTGATGTGGACTACTGAAGAATGAAGTTGAATGTGATAATAAACAGTGTAGGCTTACTAGGCTATGTGCCAGTTTTGGAATCAGAGTTAGATAAGGAGGAATCCATCTATGAGCATCAACTAATATTATTTTATAATGCCTTCTAATACAGTACTAACCTGAAGCTAGTAATCCTGCTCATGTAATCACAGCACAACCCACTCCAGTCTAGACACCAATCCTCATGATGTCTCCTAGCCCAGTCTAGGATAACAAGGACTGCCTCTGGGCATGAACAGATAATCTATGACATTTTTAATCCATGCTTTAGATGTATGATGGGAAGATCACCACCATGACTGCTCATTGTCGATTAGGCATGTGAACACATGGGACCTTTCAAGCTTCGGGCACCAAATGCACTCAACAGTCCATTTCTTTTTATTTGATATATACTTTTTCGGGATGGTAAAACATTTTCAGTGTAAACTAAATAGACTAAAACCAGATATAAACTACGTAGAACTAACAATCACTGTATGCAATCAGGAGTATTTTTGTCATGGCATGATTTTTTATAATGTTTGAGTCACTCAGATAGCATAAGAACAAGGCATAAACCATGCCAAAATGTGTAGAATTGCAGGAAAGCCCCTCCACTTGTGTCATATCATGAGGATACCTGGACCACCTATTGAGATGTGCCTTTTGTTAAGTAAATCAGGTGATAGAGGAGCTGAAAAGGAGACTGGAGTAGGACTTTAAAAATGCAATTTTTTCTCCCTGCCTCATGGAAATTGGCTTCAGAACAGCAACATTTTGTCTCTATGGCCAAGGGCCGCAAAAATGTAGCCCACTGCCCGACCCACCCACAATCTAAGCCCCATTTTGATCCAGGGGGGGATAGGACCAGAATAAAACATCACAAAGCCAGGTCATACAATCTCTCCAAGGGGAGTAACTCTGTCCTAGTAACAATGCTGTTACTGGTGTTCTTCTTAGATCAGGGGTGTCAAACATACGGCCCGAGGGCCGGATCTGGCCCACGAGGGGGTCCAATCCGGCCTGCGGGTGGTTGGGGAAAGAAACTCAATATACACTTAACAAAAACATAAACGCAACATGTAAAGTCTTGGTCCCATGTTCCAAGAGCTGAAATAAAAGATCCCAGAAATGTTCCATACGTACAAAAAACATCCCTGTTAGTGAGCATTTCTCCTTTGCCAAGATAATCCATCCACCTGACAGGTGTGGCATATAAAGAAGCTGATTAAACAGCATGATCAAGACACAGCTGCACCTTGAGCTGGGGACATAAAAAAAGGCCACTCTAAAATGTGCAGTTTTGTCACACAACACAATGCCACAGATGTCTCAAGTTTTGAGGGAGCGTGCAATTGGCATGCTGACTGCAGGAATGTCTACCAGAGCTGTTGCCAGATAATTTAATGTTCATTGCTCTACCATAAGCTGCATCCATCGTCGTTTCAGAGAAATTGGCAGTCTCTCCAACCGGCCTCACAACCGCAGCCCACGTGTTTGGCATAGTGTGGGTGAGCGGTTTGCTGATGTCAACGTTGTGAACAGAGTGCCCCATGGTAGTGGTGGGGTTATGGTACAGGCAGGCATAAGCTACGGACAACAAACACAATTGCATTTTATTGATGGCAATTTGAATGCACAGAGATACCGTGACAAGATCCTGAGGCCCATTGTCGTGCCATTCATTCAGCATGATAATGCACGGCCCCATGTCGCAAGGATCTGTACACAATTCCGGGAAGCTGAAAATGTCCCAATTCTTCCATGGCCTGAATACTCACCAGACATGTCACCCTTTGAGCATGTTTGGGATGCTCTGGATCAACGTGTACAACATCGTGTTCCAGTTCCCACCATTATCCAGCAACTTCGCACAGCCATTGAAGAGGAGTGGGACAACATTCCACAGGCCACAATCAACAGCCTGATCAACTCTATGCGAAGGAGATGTGTCGCACTGCATGAGGCAAATGGTGGTCACACCAGATACTGACTGGTTTTCTGATCCACGCCCCTACTTTTCTGTGAGCAACAGATGCATATCTGTATTCCCAGTCATGTGACATCCATAGATAAGGGCCTAATGAATTTATTTCAATTGACTGATTTCCTTATATGAACTGTAACTCAGTAAAAACTTTGAAGTTGCAGTGATGAAAATTGTCAAGCTCAATGGCCCATCTAGTGTTCAAAGGTGTTTCCCTATGAAGGCTGTTTACTGTGGATCAATGCTTAACTTTGTGGCTTTAACAGATCAGGCCCACAACGCTCTTTTCCATGAACTGTAACTCAGTAAAATCTTTGAAATTGTTGTATGTTGTTTATACTTTTGTTCAGTATACTTTAAAAAGACTAAAACCAAATCAAACAGTGTAGAAATGATAATGGACCTACCTTTATACAGTTTCTTGACTGTGTCCAGCTCACTAATAATCAACGAAATGAAAGCTACACAGTCGGGGAGTATAGAACATTTCAAAAACCATGCAAGGAAATATTTTGACGGCAAGGAAATATAACCCATTTTCAGTGCGGCCCCCCGGACCTCGTTGAAGATCGAAGGTGGCCCCCGGGACAAAATTAGTTTGACACCCCTGTCTTAGATTAACATACTCAGAGATGAGACATGCAAATGATGAGGTTGTAATCTGATTTGACAAGGCAGGAGAAAAGGTAAAGCAATCATAACAGGTGAGACATGTATCTTGAACCTTAGCCTTGTGAATGAATGATCGTCAAACATACAGGGTTGCATGCATGTCCACAAATTAAGGCATGTAATATCTGCCTTTTCCAGCAGAGGGAACAGGAGAGTCAGGAGTGCCCCAAGTGTCGCAGTTGGGCATTGAAACTGCAAGGCACTGGTAGCTTGCAGGGCAGTTGGGCACAGTCACCTCACTGCATTCCTCTAAACACCTTCTATGCTCAACATCCTAACAGATGCTAAATGGTAAAGTTACACAATAGCCTATATGAAAATACTTCAGGGATGCACTTGCATTTTATCAAATGTTTTTACATATTCAAATCAAATGTATTGGTCACATACACATACTTAGCAGATGTTATTGCGGGTGTAGTGAAATATATTGAGTTCATTAGTGAAATTAGTGATTTAGTTCATGCAGACATTTGATGGTCTCTGGCAATATGGAAAAAAAAGGCCACATCTCGATCGTCTTCCTCTTCAGATCATTAGGAAAAGGGGACAGGAACATGAGAGATGGCAGAGGACTCACGTAAATCCTACTTGTGACTCCCCAGCCCGGGTCAGTTACAGTGAGGGATCTAAAATGTCATTGAGGGGAGTTTTTAAATATCTTGTTACACTAACAGACAGACCATTAGGGAGACCGATCCACTGGTACAGGATCGCGTTCCTTGTCGCATCCGTTGCCATGACAGGGATGGGGGAGTGGGTTTGCATTTCCCCCGTCACTCAAAGTTCAGAGCAAGATTAAGTATACACACATTTGTCAATCTTGTGATGGAGCGCGTGTATTTTATGTAGGGCACTCGGTGTCTTCAATCGCTAATAAAGGTGCAGAATGTGATGGGGGTGAGGACAGATGTCATCGACTGGATGGCTTTACGGTTGAGTAGCAGAAGTGTCTCCTGTATAGCCGTTGCCCATGGATTCACTCAATTGCCACGGAAGGCAGGCAGCCAACTGGCACTCTTACTGGTTAAGGCTATTAAGAAGCTGTAAACTACTGTTAAACATCTACATTTACACTGAATCTTGAAGACTGGAGATAAAATCTTGAAATAAGGTCAATGTGCTTTGCAGAAGGAGATGTTTTGTTTATTAGAGTCAACATTACCCTCTCCTCATCACAGACACGTGCAGATCTCACAAAGAAAAAACATCTTAGTGCTTAAATCGGTATTTCTCGCTGCACACCTGTTCAGGAATTAAAATAAGTCCGGGCTGAACATAGGGAGGGAATCAAATATAATAATGAAACAAAGATGTATCTGGACAAGCCAATTAGCAGGTAGCCTGGCGGGTAGGAGCGTTGGGCCAGTAACCGAAAGGTTGCTGGATCGAATCCCAGAGCCAACAACGTTAAAGGAAATTGGTTGTTCTGCCCCTGAGCAAGGCAGTTTACCCCCAACAACAACTGCTCCCCGGGCACCGATGATGTGGATGTCGATTAAGGCAGCCCCCTGCACCTCTCTGATTTAGAGGGGTTGGGTTAAATGCGGAAGACACATTTCAGTTGAATGCATAAAGTCATACAACTGACTAGGTATCCCCCTTTCCCTTTACTTTAAACCAAGCTCTGTTGCTCCAAGTGCACATATAATTTACAACCCAGCACACTGAAACAGAGTTCACACTTAATTTAAAATAGGTCTGAAGAACTTGCACTAATACACAGTATGGACTTTTGTACCACAAGATGTTGTATCTGCACTTCACATTATTAATCAAGGTCAGACTAATCCCCACTAAGCTAACTTACTTTCTACAAACGCGTCACAGAAACTCTTAACGGTGTCCAATACAAACCAAGTGGAAGTTTAAAATGTTGCAGAAAAAGAATTGCAAGCTACCTCAGAAAACAAATAATTGTCTGGGCATCAACTCCATACACCAAGGCTTGAGCAGCAGCAACGCAGAAGGCAAATGAGAGGTGAATATCTCATGGACAAGAACATTTCAAGCAATTACTCTGTCAAGACTGAGGTTATTATGTTGATTGGGATCATTGATGTTCGTGGCCAAGACACATGTGGTCTCTTGCCTCAACTGTCTCTACAGGCTTTGAGTAGACCTACCTGAAAAAATGTCTGTCTGTGTGTGTGTGTGTGTGTGTGTGTGTGTGTGTGTGTGTGTGCCGCCTGACAAAAAATGAGATGGCAAGAGGGCCGTCTTCTACTACCTTGCTGTATGTAGAGGTAATCTCCCTTTTGTAAATGGAATGCAGTAAAGTTACAACAAATACAAACATTCTTTGTCTATTCAAACATCTACAGAGATTTTAAGTAAAGATTTTTTTTAGGAGAAAGCTTTTAAGCTAGCGAGGACAAGAGGGAACTGCACGAGCCAAAACATTTGTTACAATAACCACCCCGTCTGAGTAGGTTTAGGGAATATTTCCCAAAGAAATGAATACATTAGCAGCTGAAATCCATCAGGAAAATGAGTCAGAGGCCCAGAGCACACATTTTTTGGGACCCTACCATAACCCCTCTATGGAGAGTCCGGCCAATGGCTGCCATACTAGAGATCTAACCCATCCTAACCTCGGAACCCATTAGCACATCTCTCGCCAGGTAGCTAGCTAATGCTATCTTCATATTTATATGAATATCTGTTACGAGAGATTAGACCCATCACGATCTTCATAAAATCATAACTGCCTTTTGCAGACCAAGTCAGATTTTTCAGACCGAAAAGTCAGCAGGTAAAAACTAAATTGCTTGCAAATCAATTGCAAAACTGACGTCCTGCAATGTAACATTATTTTTTAATAAAAACAAGTTAGATTTCTTTGTGATTTTACGGATTAAAGAAATTGACTTAGTGTGCAAGAGGAACTGTACCCAGGACCCGGAGGTGAAATGAGCTATACAATAATGTTTCAGTTAGTGAGTTCTACCTAGCACACACCGTCAGTGGAGGAGCTCTACCTTCTTTCGCCCTTTGCTAGCAAGGAAAATAGCTGAATCTTACTACGCCACATAGGCTATTCAAGCTGCATAAAAAGAATAACAAATATTTGCACTTAATATTTTTTCATTATTAGATGGTCTCAACATAATCAATTCAATCAATGTGAATTACTTTAGGGCTTAGGGTGAGGGATCTAGTGCCTTTTAAACTAATTGGCATTGCCCTTATATCAAATCAAATCAAAATCAAATTGTATTTGCCACATGCGCCGAATACAACAGGTGTAGACCTTACAGTGAAATGCTTACTTACAAGCCCTTAACCTTAACCAACAATGCAGTTTAAAGAAAAATAAGTGTTAAGAAAGTATTTATTGAAATAAACTGAAGTAAAAAATAGATAAGTAAAAAATTAAAAATTAAAATAGAAGAATAACAAATAATTAAAGAGCAACAATAAAATAACAGTAGCGAGGCTATATACAGGGGGTACCGATACAGAGTCAATGTGCAGGGGCACAGGTTAGTTGAGGTAATATGTCCATGTAGGTAGAGTTAAAGTGACTATGCATAGATAATAAACAGAGAGTAGCAGCAGCATAAAAGAGGGGGTGGGGACAATGCAAATAGACTGGGTACCCATTTGATTAGCTGTCCAGGAGTCTTATGGCTTGGGTGTAGAAGCTGTTAAGAAGCCTTTTGGACCTAGACTTGGTGCTCCGGTACCACTTGCCGTGCGGTAGCAGAGAGAACAGTCTATGACTAGGGTCTCTAGCCTAATATCAAACCACATAGGCCTACTTCATCCTCCTCAAAATCACAGGACATGGTGAGAAGAAACCAAGAAAGGATTCAATTTTTTTTATGGCAACCAATTCAGTCATAAATTCATGGCTTGTTAATTGTCTCATTGGGGTGATCAACTCTTTAATGATCCTACAATCACTTGCTGTTTTACAGATCATGAGGCTTCCATACTGTGTCCCCAAGCCACACTTGGAGGGGGACAGAGGGAATTGGGAGATAAGATTTATCTCTCCATCAACGCCCCCAAAGATGTTTCTAGATGTTAGCAATGCCATGGACAACTCCTGTCCGAGCCTCCTCTTCATAAAAGCCCCTGCCAACCCTGCCTCCCACGGCAGGTGCCCTGAGACTGTCTTAACTGATACGGTGGTGGATGGAAAAGGAAGGAGGAGCCTGTATATGAAGCACTTCATTCTACTGTTAAAATAGTCTGCAATGAATCACATACTGAACTTGTTGTCAGCAAAATACAATGCTAGACAAATGTCTGAGCTATATCTGATGTGAAGATTGTTTTTTTCCTCTGTCAAATACAAGCCACATCAAGTAGAGACCCAAAATGTTTCACAGGTAAAAGTCCAATATGGTGGCAATCTAGTCTGGAGGCAACGAATGACGGCAGGTAATTAGTTATTTCAATATTGCAGGTGAGGGAGAAGGAGCAAACTCTAAGTGTGTGCATGAGTCATCACCCCATAGACGGAATTCTAGACTGATTTTGCCCTGTAGGTTAGTTATTCACCGAGCACCACTTCAGCTTATTTCCAAACAAATGTGACTCACTCATTTATATCATCCTCAGCATCATCACAATCATCCTCAGCATCATCACCATCATCAACATCATCCTCAGCATCATCACCATCATCAACATCATCCTTAGCATCATCACCATCATCCTCAGCATCATCACCATCATCAACCTCAGCATCATCAACATCATCCTTAGCATCATCAACATCATCCTTAGCATCATCATCACCATCAAATAATATGGAGATTAAAAAATAAAAAGGCTTGTGAAAAAGTGTGGTGACAAATGTACGCAGACATCACTCGGCTGAAGGAAGTGTTGATTTGAAGAAAAAAAGAAAGTCTAACGAGAGTGAAATCTGATGAGTAGGCTGAATCCAAGCCATAGCTTTGAGGTACGGAAAGGATGTTAGTCATGCCTGCTGTCTCTGGGAGGGGGTGGAAGTGAGAATATCAAATAATTTATTATAAAGCTTGAACTAAGGGCGTAGCTTAATATTGTGCCAAGATATTTTGATTGCCATTAATTTGAAATATTTCTTGCCACTAGAGATATTGGAAAATTTCCCGAGGTTGGGGGATGAGGGGAAGGATTTAAAAGAAATGGCAATGCCAAAAAGCTCTTCTTAATTCATTTTAACAAGAACAAAACAAAAACAGGGTCAAACATGATACAGCGGATCCATTCAAAATGACTATGCGGTCGGTTGGTGCCCATTTTAAAAGACTCCACTTTGTCAAATGGATGAGAGTGTAACAGTATTGTCAACACGGCGTGCAAAGGAAACGATGCAAACTATTTATAGCCCAAATGAAACCAAATTGAAAGGAGGGGATTCGGGGGTGGAATCCTCCAACCACTGTATATTCACAAAATGTAAAGAAGCAGCGGGAGAAATGGCTTCCCTCCTGAAGGTGAATTTCATGGTACTAAAGGAAGACAAAAGAAGAACAGGGCCATGTCCATTAGTATGTGTCAAGTGTGGCGTCAAGCTAAATGAAGACCTCCCAGTGAAAGAGTAGTCATAGAAAAAAAGATCTAGAGGCATATGAAGAGATGCTTCCGGTAGTTGAAGGCTGCTTTCACAATAACCGATGAAAGAAATATAAATGGGGGGAGGGAGGGTTGGATGGGTTGAGAGACTGAGCCATCCTTCATCATGTACTGCAATGGTTTAAAGATTTCCTAATAAAGTGGATGCCCCAGGCAGTTTGATGACTGGAATTATCATCAGTCCATAGCTAGCTATTTTGTATACATCTAGCTGTTAGAAAGGGGGTGGGGGTGTAGCCTACTAAGTGCACAGCATTTCTAGTTCAGCCTCTCAGACTAGACTTAGACACTATCTTCACTTTCTAAGCCTTGTGCTTAGAAACCCCTGAAATGGGTAAGTCATTAAGGCACCAAAACACCCTCAGATCTTGATCTATTATCTTTGTTTTGTGTCTTGTGTCTTATTTGTTTTGTATTGTATAGTTGTATCATTTAGCAATATGCTAAATGACACATAATTCAATGTTGGCAATAATATGCAGAGGTTCACGTTCCTGGACGTGCTATGGGATTAGGCAGAATAAGCAAGGAGTAGGATGGAAAAGAGCGTTGTGGGCCTGATCTGTTAAAGCCACAAAGTTAAGCATTGATCCACAGTAAACAGCCTTCGTAGTGAAACACCTTTGAACACTAGATGGGCCATTGAGCTTGACAATTTTTATCACTGCAACATCAAAGTTTTACTGAGTTACAGTTCATATAAGGAAATCAGTCAATTGAAATAAATGAATTAGGCCCTAAAATATGGATTTCACATGACTGGGAATACAGATATGCATCTGTTGGTCACAGATACCTTAAAAAAAAAAAGTAGGGGCGTGGATCAGAAAACCAGTCAGTATCTGGTGTGACCACCATTTGCCTCATGCAGCGCGACATATCTCCTTCGGATAGAGTTGATCAGGCTGTTGATTGTGGCCTGTGGAATGTTGTCCCACTCCTCTTCAATGGCTGTGTTAAGTTGCTGGATATTGGCAGAAACTGGAACACGCTGTCGTACACGTCGATCCAGAGCATCCCAAACATGCTCAATGTGTGACATTTCTGGTGAGTATGCAGGCCATGGAAGAACTGGGACATTATCAGCTTCCAGGAATTGTGTACAGATCCTTGCAACATGGGGGTGTGCATTATCATGCTGAAACATATGTGGGTAGAGTTAAAGTGACTATGCATAAATAATTAACAGAGTAGCAGCAGCGTAAAAAGGATGGGGTGGGGGGGCAGTGCAAATAGTCCGGGTAGCCATGATTAGCTGTTCAGGAGTCTTATGGCTTGGGGGTAGAAGCTGTTGAGAAGTCTTTTGGACCTAGACTTGGCACTCCGGTACCGCTTGCCGTGCGGTAGCAGAGAGAACAGTCTATGACTAGGGTGGCTGGAGTCTTTGACAATTTTGAGGGCCTTCCTCTGACACCGCCTGGTATAGAGGTCCTGGATGGCAGGAAGCTTGGCCCCAGTGATGTACTGGGCCGTACGCACTACCCTCTGTAGTGCCTTGCGGTCGGAGGCCAAGCAGTTGCCATACCAGGCGGTGATGCAACCAGTCAGGATGCTCTCGATGGTGCAGCTGTATACTTTTTTGAGGATCTGAGGACCCATGCCAAATCTTTTTATGGCGGAGGATTAATGGCATGGCAATGGGCCTAAGGATCCCGTCACGGTATTGCTGTGCATTCAAATGGCCATCGATAAAATACAATTGTGTTTTTTGTCCGTAGCTTATGCCTGCCCATACCATAACCCCAACGCCACCATGGGGCACCCTGTTCACAACGTTGACATCTGTCAGGTGGATGGATTATCTTGGCAAATGAGAATGCTCACTAACAGGGAGGGGAGACTGCATGTGTCCAGATTCCCGGTCTTCCCTTCCAAGGCTCTTGTTTGTTTGTTTGTTTGTTTGTGTTGGAATAGTGGATTGGTCTAGCTCCAATTCGGGAAACGGAAAGGGGGATACCTAGTCAGTTACACAACTGAATGCATTCAACAGAAATGTGTCTTTCACATTTAACCCAACCCCTTTGAATCAGAGAGGTGCGGGGGGCTGCCTTAATCGACATCCACGTCATTG